TGATGAGATGTCGTCGCCCTTCGTGATTTCTGGTTGGCTATGACTAATCCAGAGATGTTTTCTGATTCTGCTGATTGGTCAGTTAGAAGTGACTGGCTCCTGAGAGCACGTGACATCTTCGCCATATTTATTCGCCGGTCTGATTCCTCCTTCCGGGGGGCTCGGTATCGCTCCCTTCGTTCCTCCTTTTCGATCCGTTGATCACGTCGCTCCATATCGGCTTGGTGTACGGGATCAGGCTCAGAACGCTGAAGGATCTCTTTCGGAACCTCCAAGTACTGATTGCGCAAGATGTCATCCAGGTAGTTCCGCTGTTCAGGCCAGACCAACTTCCGGTGTCGTACATTCAGCCAGACATCATGATAGCCAAACCATTTCTGCCCCACAATTATATCATGCTGTCCCAGGTCAGCGATCAAGAAGGGTTGGTTCAAGAGTCTCCGTCCGCCAATGATGAGGTGACAGATAATAGCATGGGTAATTGGTGATCCCTCCCGACCATCATACCCTTTTGTCTTAATGGTCTTGCTAAGCCGTCGTGTGGGAATCCCAAAGAACCTTGATAATCCAATCGCTTGTCGGGTGTTCATGAAAAGATAACCATTTGCTCCAGTGTCGGCCAATGTGGTCAAAGGGATACTGATTCCGTTGTAAGCTACTTGACTGCTCACATTACAATTCTGTCCCCCAATCAATTGACTAAGATCCAATTCTAATTCATCTAGGTCGACACTATCTAACCCCAGGTCGGAGACTTTATCCTGGGCTAGGCTTTTCCCGCATTGTTGTCCAGTTCATTCTCAGACACTTTCTGTTCCAGCTCCTTCAATTCGGGGGCTGAGGACTTGGCAGGACAGTCTCGAGCAAGATGTCCATGTTCCTGGCAGTGGAAACATCTACCTTCCTTCATCAGTCTGTCACGTCCGACACCGCTAGTCTGTGAGGCGGTAGGACTAGAGCTTCGGGATGGAGTTGGTTCCTTCTTGACAGTGGTGCCAGATCGGTTAACTCCCTTGCTTGTTGTATCCTTGTTGGGGGTGAACCCTCGGTTCTTCTGGTTTCGGTGATGGATAGCTTCGAGTCGACTTGCAGTCTGAGATACTGCATCAGAGAAATCCTGGAATGGCCCATCCTGGTAGCTCGCTGAGATACACAGCTCTTGGAGCTTGGTCGTCAACTTGTGGTAGAGCTCATCCTTCCAATCATCCTCTGCAACACCTGCTTCCGCAGCAAGGTACAGGAATTCAGACAGGAAGTCATGGAACTTGTCACTTGTCTTCATGTACAACTGTCGAAATTGGTGCTTTGCAGTGGTGATGCGGTTCGGGTCATTGTAGATCATCTTTAGGTGGTCCAGCATGTCCTTTGAGTCGACATAAGGGTTCAAAACATCATCCCTCATACGTGGTGTGATGTGCTTTCGGGCCTTGCCCTCGCAGCGGCTGGCAATGTATGCCATGCGAAGTTGAGGGGTATCAAAGTGGTCTGCATTGGCGGCTAGCTTCTGGGATAACAGAAGCAACCAATCTTCAAATCGAGGCTCCTTACCATCAGTCAACATAGGGGGATCAGGAATCTTAGTTGACTTTCGGACAGTAGGTGCAGGGGAAGTTTGTCGGCCATCATTGACAGTATTCATCATCAACCGGGCAATCTGGGTGGCAAAGGCATCTCGCTCTGTTCTAGCCTCAGCCAGCTCCCGGCGCAGGATTGCGATCTGTCCATCCTTGGTCTGACCATGAAGCTCCTCTCCTGCAAGCTGAGCCTCACGATCCTCCAGGCACTCCTCATATCGCTGGTGGACTTGTTGGAGCTTCTCATAGAACCACTCAGGCTTGTCAGTGACAAACTGTAAGAATTCCTCTAAAGTCACCATGCGTCGTTCTTCATTCTCATCTCCATCAATAAAGATAGAGGATCGTCGATTCTCTTGGTTGATATCATCGTCGTTCGTCTCGTTCTGGTTGGCCCTAGGAGGGACAACGGTGCTGTTCTGTCGAGCCATACTGGCCAGGATCGTCGTATTAGTCGATTGTCGGTATCAATCTGATTCGTTCGGTGGGTCGGTCAGATAGTTGGGAGACGCACTACTATGGCTCCACGATCGCTGGATCGAACCAATGAAGTAGGCGTGTTGAGAAAAAAAGGCGAGATTCGATATTATGTCACGGGCTCGGACCAGTAGATACTAATGAAATGATATTCCTATCTAACCAGTGTAGCCATTGACTAGAATATCGAATCTGGAGAAGAAAAGAGAAGAGGCAAATCTATTTACATGAAGAAGTCCTATATGTTTGTGTGTGGTCTCGCTAAGCAGCTTGTTTGCCTTGGTTGCTTCCATGACATTGTTTGCCGTGTTGATGATGTTTGCTGATGAAGGCGCTGAGCTGAGCCGTTACAAAAGGGAAAGAACACCAGGCTGCATGGTATCAAGAGTCTAATCTTCATCCAGATTGGAAGCTCACCAACAGTGCCAACGGCTGGACAACAGATAAGATAGGCCTTGCATGGTTGGAGTGTCTATTTGACCCATTTTCCAAGCTGCATTCAACTGGCGCAAAGCGATTACTTATTCTTGATGGCCATTCAAGTCATCAAACCATTGAATTCGACAATTTCTGCAAAAAGAATGCAATTATCTGCCTTTGCATGCCTCCACATTCATCTCATTTCCTTCAACCTCTGGATGTTGGTGTTTTTGGACCGCTTAAACGTGCATGTGGCAAATTAGTTGAGGGCATGATGGCGGCTGGAAACAACCATATTGATAAAGAGGACTTTCTCCATATATACTCTTTGTTACAGATCCCTAATGCACTAATCCCACGTGATTATGCGGGGAGTCAAGGCAGAATCATTGGACCATAAGCTATGGTAATAATGCAGGAAGGACAAGGATCAAAGATGGTAGTTAACAAGCGCATCACGTGATCAACTACCATATGTCGGAATATAGAGGTTCCTTACCGAACAATACCAACTGATGCTTGATTTATGCCTCGCTGATATCATATGGCGCAAGCAGCGTATTTACTCTGCTATTACTGCTTTTGAAACCGCACAATCGCTTAGTATACTCTATAAGGTAGTTACGGTCTTATATAGGATCCTAGATAGCACACTTTTGCAAGAATTAGAGACCTCAACCATATACGCTTGATACGTACCCTCAACCCTGACTAAGCCACATTTCCGACACCATATATCATGGCTTGGCATTGGTAGATGGTATACGACTACCATAATAACTACCATCAGGATGGTAGTCTATACGGTATACAAAGCGGAGGATATATAAGGACACTCATTCATGCACCTAGTTTAGTTCTTCGCAATCAATCTAGTTAATCAAGCATTGGTTACCTTCTAGTTTCTGACTCGTTTGCACTTAACCAACAACCCAGCGTACGCGCTCGGTTGACCTTGTTTCTCTATTTGTTACCTTTACCGTATCTACTTGTTGATTATCTTACGGAGCCTGGAGGGGGCGATATACCTTCGACGTGATATACAGAGGACCTGGATGGTCATTGAGCATATGATTGCTTGGAAGACACTTAGGGTAAGTGTTCTGTCTCGAAATACAACTAACTAGAACCCTAGGTACGATACGAGAGGAGCCAGGTTGTGACACCCTTCTGCACGCAAAGCAGTTTTTACTGAAAAGAATATATGCAATGGATTTGCAGGATCTGGTCTTAAACCACTCAATAAAGACCAGGTTCTTGAGAAAATCACCTTTCAACTTCGTACACCAACACCACCACCTCTTGCTGAAGGATCAATATCATCTGCATTTCAGACACCTCAGAATCCCCGCCAGCTTGACCACAAGATCCACAATCTGCAGAAAAGCCTTCAAAGGAAAAGGACACTTTTTAGCAGCCCAGTCTCCCAAATTCAACATCTTGAAAAGACTGCACAGATGGCAATGAATACAAACCTTCTTTTCCAACAAGAAATCAAGGTTTTACGGACTGAAAATGAGCGGAAAACAAAGAAGAAGGCAAGGAAATGTGCTTCTATAGGAGATAATCTCTTTTTATCTGTACAGGAAGGTTGTGAGCGCATTCAGCAGCTTGATACACAGGATGAAGCCCAGGTTGAAGAGCCTATATCTTGGCCTCGCAAGCGAGCTCCACAACGCTGTAGTGGCTGTGGGACTGTAGGACATATAATAAGAGGTTGTCCTAGTAAATAACTATTCATTTTATTTTTTATATAGTCTAGTTTAATGGTGTTGGTGGTTGAAAAGCTTTAATATCCTTGTGGTTGCGGAGAAAATGGTCAGCTCGGTTGTATGGTCAGCTCGGTTGTGGATTACGTTAATTGTGGTGAAAACAGTTGAGGACTGTAGACCTCAGCCACCGCTCCGTACACATTTCTTTAACGAGTTCTTTTGTACGCTACATCTAGTTATAGATAGCTGGGCTACGGCCCTTGACACAAATTCGCTATAAGGAATACCCCGCTGTAAGGAATTTAGCAAGCGGTCTGATTTAATTGTTTATAGCGAGGGTTTACTGTATCCAGATCATTCTTGAGGATAATTAACTGGTGGAACTAGATAGACGTCCGAGTTTACTCCGTGGCCACGTTGGAAAGTCGTCTATTGTATTGGTTACTATCACGCGAATATAATAAGCTAAAATAAACCAGTTAAACAGCCCAGCCGGGCTAGCTCAATCGGTAGAGCGTGAGACTCTTAATCTCAAGGTTGCGGGTTCGACCCCCGCGTTCGGCTTCAACAGAAGACGATCACGATTGATCCTTTTTTTTTTAAAACTTTTTTTCTTTTTTTTGGAAAATCCCCTGGGCATCTGTCGATGTGCACAGTGCCGATCCAGAAATGAAAAATATTTATTTTTAAATCTAGAAATCTCTCCCTCCAAGGAAAGACAGATGAGATAATGGTATCATATAATAACAATCGCAAACATAACGCCCCATATATGCCCTATATACGATGTCTAAAAGGTCCCAAACTGAAACTCGTCGGTAAAATGCTGCGAGTGTGGAGGAATATAAAAGTCCCGATACGGGTGATTCTCCATGGAGAAGTCCGCAGTCATCATGGTAGGGTTGATCACTCCGGGCGGCATTTTAGACATGGCCGAATCCAGCATGGTATGATGCTCGTTCATCAGTGAAGCGGGGTCAGTAGAGGTGGGTAGCTGACTGGTCCAGGCCCATGCCTCCTGAAGCTCCTGTTTAATTGTATCGGATTGCCAACCGGTTTCGTTGAGTAGACGGTCGAGGATCTGTAGTGCTTCTTCCTGAGCTTCTCTTGTGGTGAGGCATTCAGCAGCAAAGGCGAGGAATCGGATCGATAGACTAGAAATACCGCTGTGAATTGTTAGCCTAATCCATTAATTCATTCTAGTGAGGTGAAGTTCCATACCGATCATTGATATGCGCAATGATACCACAGATCTCATGCGCATGGCTTTGCTGTACATTGCGCATCTCCGGACTATACGATTCGAATGGGTGCATCTTACACAGCAAAAGCCGTGCAGTAAGATAGAATAGCCGTGCGAGAATAGCCGTCTGGTTAAGCAGCCTACCAAGGTTAGTTGGAGAATCATAAAGGAAAGAAAGGAACTGTCTACCAGATCTCTGGAAACGCTGATTTAGGAATACCCTGCAATGGATCGAGATGCCCAAGAGGCATCATAGACCGCGGTACAGCCTTTTCCCATTGATCACACCACTTATTGTATAAATCCCATTCGTGAAACCTCATTTCGGTAACTCCATGGTTCACATCCTGGAACTGAGAGCCAGATGACCGGAGATTGACAGACTTCGCGCATATATAGACAATACGATGAGTCCACATTTCTGCGCCACCAGTAGCATGGGGTCTTGTTTCACCCATATTCATGTCTATGTCCCATGTGTCGGGATCCCAGGCCAGAGACAAGTTGAAACGTAGACAGGCCAATAGTTCTATCATCATGCTAAGCCAGAAACATGCTCCTCCAAGTCCAGGTGATCTTGCGTCCCAATGACATTCTCTGATCAGAGCCCTGGCACCAGCGACATGGTTTAGGCCGTGGACAACTCTTGAGGACAATACTTCGTACATTCCTAAAACAGTGGCAGTCATGGCACAGAGAGTCGAGTCACGATCTGGATTTTGCAAATGACTGAGGAGGTCTTGGGTAGCCGCAAAATAGAAGTATGAAGCTCTGTCTTCGCCATTCAGGGAACTCATGGGGTGAAGATGTGCTCCGCATGCCATGACGGCCTTCAGAAGCATGGGCTCATCTAGAACACGTAACGGCAGAATATGCGTAAACTAGATTGATTAGTTTACAAGACTATAACAAGGTAGCATTGAACATACGTATTTTGACGCATCCATAGAGTCCAACCACGGCCCAATCTCTTCTGTAAATGTCCGTACAAGCTGAATCTCCTCTTGATGATTGAGAGGTCTAGAATCTGGATTGAGTATCATCTGCCTCGTCGAGGAAATGAGTGACACTTCCTGTTCAGGAAAGACGGAGAATAACGCCTGAGGAGAGCCATTGAGCATAGCATCAATCGTTTCCAACTGCGAAGGCTCCAATGGCGAGACGAAGGAACGAGTACTCTGCAAAGGCGGATTCAGAGTACCCGACAACCCAAACTCCACAGGAACTTGTTTCTCCAACGGCAGATCTGGTTCCGGGGAGGGATATCTCTCAAAACCTCCCATATACTCCGACGCAATATGCCTCGACTCATCCCGAAATGTCAATCGCGTACCCGCCTTCCGAATCGCGTAATATGGAGGCGCAACCGTCTGTGTATCTATAAAATTTAGACGAATCCCGCGCCTGCATATTCTGTTCGACTTCCGGCAATTCTGGCACTTGCCCAATGCCTCGTCGCATTTAAGATGGCGCTCGCGACAGGTCAAGCATCCGGTTCGGACCCTTTTCGATTTTGGAATACCTCTGCCGCTTTTCTTTTTACCGACTTTTGACATCGTCGCGCGCGGTGTACTGATTGTCGAGCTTGTCGGTGTCGAGGCTTGACCATCGTCGTTTGGAGTAGGTCCGCTGTCGCTCGGTTCGGAGGCCAAGGTCATGGGTGTTCCCAGGTCTGGTTGTAGAGATGCATGACTGCGAGTGGCACGAGTCATATCAAAGCGTGTAGAGGTCACGCAGATATTATTTGCCCGGCGATTGCCCGTTGCAGAACTCGAACAAATAATGCTGCAAGAAGACCCCGCAACTGAATCCATTAACCAGCACCCCAGTTCATTAGCCACCGTCCATCATCACCTTTAGCAGTCGTTAAATGTCTCCGAAATCTGATAATGACTCGTAGTATCAAGGCGTGCGAGAATCGTCGAGCAACGAGGGGTCGTTCCAGATCGCAATGGTTTCCGGAAGGTCGCGCAGTCGCAAATTACCTAGAAGAGAACTGTCAGGAGGAAGGACGATAAAACCAAGCAAAGACCCGCGCATGACAGACTCACCTCAGATAACTTATGAAACGAATGTATGGTTTCTTTGCAGGAATATGTCGAGAGAAGATGGGATACGAACCGATAAAAAGATGCGCGGGGACGCTTTACGGGCTAAACCCAAATGGGATTAGCGTTTTGTTCGTTCTGTAGGGCTACTCCGTGTTATGTATGACTATTTTTTTGAATCTCAAGAAGACAATAAACTTTTTGATTGGTAAATTCACTGGGGCTTCTACCTTGTTTATACCACTGCCTGAAAGCCCTGAAATTTTCATATCATAGCATGGCTTGCCAATACAACATGCCTCATGATCAGTTTTATACATACTGGTAAAATATCAAATGCTTTTATGTCGTTAAATAGTGGATAGCATCAAGACCTGCTTCCAAGCCGCGGCAGTCGCATCCGAACGTGCATAAGAAGCATAAGAACTCCATAAACAGCAGCGGAGACGAAGGTTACCCGAAGACTCAAACTATACGCGCCGATGACTGCAATTGTTAGCATGGATTCCTTGGATTTCCACGAGTCACTACTGACCTTGTTGTTGATGCATCGGGTCCAACTCTGCAATAGCTCGTACCGATTTGCGAACGAGTAGGATGACATCTTCCTTGTTTGGCCCTGTGACCATCTCCTCGAGTCGATATGTCAAGCTATTTTGGAAGATCCAGCTGCTTATCGCCACTCCCATGACCGAGCCGAGGTTTCGCCATAGACTTAGCGTCGTAGTGGCCACTGCTTGCTCTTCTTGGTCGCTTGTAGCAAGAACCCCCACCATAAACGAAGGGAATGAGAAGCCTTGGCCGAGACTGGAGAGTGAAACGCAGATCATTGCAATGATATCCGGAGTCGTAGCACCTATTGAGGCAGCCGCACAGCCACCCAGAAGGATAAGTATGTCGCCGATTATTATCGTGGGCTTCAGGCGTTTGGTGTATGTAATCAAAAAGCCTGTTGAGACGCTGGACATGGTGACGGCAAGCGTACAAGCAACCATCTTGAATCCAGACTCGGTTGGTGTGACCAGTTTAACAGCCTGGAAATATAACGGGATGTTGAAGATCATGGTGTTAATAGAGATAAATCCAAGGAAATTCCCGAAAATGATACTTGCACGAGGCTGCTTCGATAGTAGTGAGATTGGCATAACAGCACGCTCCACGCCGCGCTCGTGCTTCACAAAGATTACCGCTAAGATGAAAGATAGAAGCAAAGATGAGATGATGACAGGATGAGTCCAGCTGAACACATTGCCACCCAGGTTCAGTGCCATGATCAGCGACGTTACGGCAAGAACTAGGATTAACGAGCCAACCAAGTCAATGTTCTTCGCCAGTTGTGACAAGGTCATGTTTTCCCGTTTCGCACTCTTCAATCCCAGACCTGCCGGTGTCGTCCATGCAGCCACGAAGAAGTACACAAAGATAAATGGCAGTTGTACGTAAAAAGCACCTCTCCACCCCACCTTGTCGCATAGGTAGCCACCAAAAGCTAATCCTAAACACCCACCTACTCCCAGGACAAGATTGATGTAAGACTGGTAGACACCGCGGTACTCGAGACGGACCAAGTCACTGGAAAGGATCATTCCCAAAGCAAGCACACCACCAGCTCCAAGACCGCAGAAGGCACGCGCGGCAATAAGACTGCCAATGCTTTGGGCCATGGCACACCACAGCGTAGTGAAGAAGAAGACAATGATAGAGAACAGATACACGGGTTTCCGCCCAAAGGTGTCTGAGATGCGTCCAAAGAGAGGAAGGAACGCAGTAGACGTCAAAAGGAAAGAGTTTGAGAGCCACGATGCAGAGTTGGAGGCATGGAAGTAGGAGGTAATAACTGGATGACTCGATGCCATCAGCGTCGAATCGAAAAACGCAATTATATATCCCATCATGATCCCTCCGAAGATAAGCCAGAATCGCGCAGGCGAGACATTGATGAATCGTGCTGCGTAGCCTGTGTTTTCTTTTGATGGGCTATCCTCAGGGCCTGCATGATCCGGAGGGGGTGGTACATTATCAAGTATACCCTGGGAAGCAGAAGTGATTCTAGAGATGTCAAGGATAGTCGCATCCTCGTCCTCAACAGTTGACGCAATGGACGATGAGTCGTAACGGGGACCCTTCCCTACAGATCCATGGGATTCATTGTAGCGGTGGTTCTGAGTAGGAGACGTTCCAGTACTGCCTAACAGAGGAGTCGACTCATTGGCATGAACGCTATGCCCTTCCATCAGGTATTTGTTGGCAGTATATGAAAGAAACAAGAAAGTAGACTTGGTTCAGCAATAAAAATAAAAGAATTGAAGAAGTAGAAACGAATGTACACAGCTGCAAGAAGAAGAAAGAAATTCGGTTCATCAGCGAAGGTCATTGGGAGCCTCCAGTGCTTTATACTCTCTGTATTGCTCGGGTATGGCCATGGATTACAGTGGAGTCAGCTGCAGGATGAGTACACTACTGTAATATCAGATCCTGTCAGTACCTTATATTTGACTGGTGATACTGACAGCACTGGTTGAAACATTTCAAATGCTACATTTACTTAATAGACCTTCTGCTTTAACTGCGACAAATATTGCTACTTTATAGCCTTTCCTGAATAACTTTTGTGGTTGACATCTGCATTTGGATGTACTTCTCTGTATCGGATGTCATGCCGTATTACCGCCCCTCATGGGACCGTGATATCTTGTCCAATGAAAAGTATGGCTGACTCTCAGCCTTTGATATGAACCAATAAACTTTAGTTTTCAGCGAACTTAGCGCGAACCGATTATCCGATACAGTATCTGTATGAAATTACCGTGATCTCGTGCTTGCCAGGGTACTATGAGGAATACTGGACCTTCAATCTATCTTCCTACTAAATGCTAGAGATTTTAAATTAAGCGCAAAAAGTCTGAAAATTTCTCCGACCGTGTACTGTCAGGGCTGTTTTATTTTATTTTATTTTTTTTTCCCTTTCCCCCCCTTACTCGTTTTGATAAGGCGGTGGCGCCAGGGTACAGATTCAGGGCCGATAAGGAACCATGGGCGGAATGAATCATCCACCTTCGTTTTATGACGACTTACCCCATCGTGGGACTTGGAGATATCAAATACATAGCATAACATCATTGAAGCTCGCCTAGACCTCTGCGCGATTTGAAGGACTTTACATTATCAGACTTTCCAATCTCAACCACTTCTCTTGTCCCTTATCAGATCTCCATGCCCGCAATGGCGCCCCCGCTTCGAATCGCCGTACTGGAATGCGACACGCCACTAGATAACATCAACGCCAAATATGAAGGCTATGGCGGTGTTTTTAAAGAGCTCTTCAGAGAAAGTGCCAAACGTTTAGGACAGCCAGAGAAACTAGACCCGGAGACAGGCTTTGAGATCTCGCGATGGGATATCGTAGACGGAGACAAGTATCCCAACTTGGATGAGGTTGATGCTCTTGTCTTGACTGGGTCGAGTATGCTTCTCCTCCTCATCGTTTCTATAGAGGCTCTATGTGCTGATACCTGGCAGAGCATAACTCCTTCGAAGACCAACCTTGGATCCTGAAACTAGTCGAATACACAAGGCAAGCTATCGAACACCCCCGCGTGCGGATCCTGGGTATCTGCTTCGGTCATCAGATCATCGGACGTGCTCTTGAGGCGAAAGTCGGTCGAAGTGATGCCGGTTGGGAAATCGCAGTGTGCGATATGGACTTGACAGAGGAGGGAAAGAAGTTGTTTGGAAAGGACAAGCTCGTACGTTGCATGTGTATACTCAATAATCCCTACAATTGCTAATGGTTGACTTGCAGCGCATTCAACAAATGCACCAGGATATCGTCTACGAGTATCCAGCCAATGTTACACCGCTTGGCTCGTCTCCTCGCTGCGTTGTGCAGGGCATGTACCTGCCTGGCAAGTTTATTACTGTTCAAGGGCATCCGGAGTTCACTGGGTACATAGTCACTGAGATTGTCAGTACACGGTCAAAGCTGGGGGTGTTTTCTAAGGATGTATCTGAGGATGCGTTGAACAGGGCTGTCGTTGAGCACGACGGTCTTGCGATTGGGACGGTGTTTCTTAACTTCTTGCTGGAGGACAGGAAGTAAACATAATTTTATGAAACTACCACAAGTCTGTACATATCCAACCATAGAGGTGTTTTATTACAATAGAGGAACAGGGGGTTTGTTTTGCTCTTGAAATCGTCATCGTTATTAAAGATATTTACTTGCAACTGCATATAGCGAGCTCCTGGTATACTAACACATTCCAACGAGAAAGAATCCTTATATCTTTAGCAACATGCTCAGCAAATTCGCCCTGTCGTCTTCTCATATGAACAAAAAAAAAAAAAAAAAAAAGCGCGAAGAGATCACCCCTGAGCATTCGGATCCTCCTTCTCCAAAAATGACGGGTCCATCTCCACCCTTCTCTCAAATTTTGTCCACCAATCCCGAAAGCTCTTCAATGTCACAACCTCCTCCCCCCGATGATTCGCATCCGGCGCCGCAAAACTCGCCAGAAAATTAAACGCATTCCCAATAATCCTCTGCGCAAGCACCTTCGTCGAAACCTCCTTCCTCTGCCTCTGCTCAGGAGAATGTCGCACAAGATCTGTCGACGCCCCAGCAGTAGCCGGCTTTTCAGTCTCTAATTGCGCCAGCTGCGGCGCAACGGTCTGAACGGGCTCGATTGAAATTCCCAACGTTACCATGCCTCCCGACGACGCGCCGCCGGAGAGGTTGCTTGCATCTTCGTCGAGCATTTCATCTTGGTCTTCGGCTTCTGAGCGCTGCGGTGTGGATTGTGTTTCGCCGGGGCGGACTTTGAATACTGCGGAGGGTTTCTCGTTTGCTAGTGCGCCTATGAAGCGGAATGCTGGGCCGTTGAGGGAGGGTGTTTGCTCTGGTAATTGGATGTAGATTGCCGCTGCTGTGTCTTGCGGGAGGACGGTGCCGGGGAGGAAGAATACGACGACATCCGTGAACGAGGGCGTAAGAGGGAATGTGAAGGCAAACTTTGTCGGCTGGCCGTTTGGTTGGCCGTCAACGGCGACTATGTCGGTCAGGCAGGGTCTGCCTGGGATGATGACGGAGAACATGGCGGAGTAATATTAAATCGCAATGTAATTCGCAAACACGTTGGTCGCTGAGCCTCGTCTGACAATTTAATTATCGGGATAGTGTTGGTAGGGAAGGTATTTGCTAATGTATTGAGCAGGGCGCAATTTGCATCTTCACTGTCCAGATGACAGCGACCGGAATTTTCCAGGCACGCGCATTCCATGATGGAATCTCAAAGAAATGCGCAGTGACGAAATGCGAGTGCCCTTATCGATAAGGGTTATTTTATCTGTCGCTGCGCATAGCCGTGTTCATGTTACGGTACAATCTCTCTGCGCCCCAATAGGATACATCGAAGAGCGTCACATCCAAGTAAATAACCTCTTTCTCTTTTCTCCTCTCTCTCACTTCCTCTCTTGTCAATTGTTCTGACATACACAATCTATAAGCAGCCGACCCAATGACAAAATCATACCTCGATCTCGTCAATGAATGCGACAGGTAACATTCTCCCCTCCGCTCCGGTAGCCAAGACACTTCTAACTATCAATAGATTCCCCTACTACCACGATGACCCTACATTCTACACATCTCACCTCCAGAATTACCATTTCTTCAAAGTTACCGGCTGCCCCTCCATCCTAGGCTACATTTGCAACTCCATAGTCGAGAAGTTCCCCTGGCCCGAAGACTGCTGGTCCATCGACTCCACAAACCGAATCGTCACGCTCGTCACAGCCCCCGATGCAACCCCCAGCCAGCGCAGCGAATTAGTCGCAAAGACCCTCGCAGAGGCAGTCAAACACAATACCTTTAAGATCCTAGACGGGTGGCGCGACGAGTTATACCCCGTTTACGGTCCGAAGGGAGAGTTCCTGCTCGAGTTGGAGAGAAGCGCGAGTCCGCTTTTCGGGATCGTTTCGTACGGTGTGCATGTTACTTGCTATGTGAATGATGTAGATGGGATGCGGATTTGGGTGCCTAGGCGGTCGAAGACAAAGCAGACGTATCCTGGGATGTTGGATAATACTGTCGCTGGCGGGATGAGTACTGGGGAGAGGCCATCGGAGTGTGTTGTTCGGGAGGCTATGGAGGAGGCATCTCTTCCTGAGGATGTGGTTAAGGCCAATGCGGTTCCGGCTGGGTGCATTACTTACCTCTACGTGCGGGGCGAGAATGCTGGCGGGGAGACGGGCCTTTTGCAGCCGGAGGTTGAGTATGTTTATGATATCCCGTTGGACGCTAATGTCGTTCCTAAGCCTTGCGATAGCGAGGTGGAGGCGTTCCACCTGTTTACGGTGGAAGAGACGAAGCAGGCTTTGGCAAATGGGGAGTTCAAGCCCAATTGTTCCATGGTCTTGGTTGATTTCTTCCTAAGACATGGTATCATCACTCCGGAGAACGAACCCGATTTTCTAGAGATCTCGGCGCGATTGCACCGTCGTCTTGAGTTCCCCACTGCATCGCATGCTTTGGCGAACTAGACCCATGGACCACGGAAGAAAAGGAGCATGCACAGAACAATATACATATTTGATGATCTATTGATATACCCAATTACCAATCTAACGCCGGCGCTCCAGAAATGTTTCAACCTAATACACCCGACTTTTGTTCGGAGAACAATGCATCAACTGTAGATAGCATAGCGGTATTTGCATCAATCGCGAGATAAGAAAATAAACGAAGCGATCCTCTCATTTCTTCAAAAGCAGATACACATAGTCAACTCTGAGAGGAGCAAGCTTCTTGTAAGGTCCCTCAAGATAAAGTAGGAGTCCACCAAAGGAGATAAAAACGGCCCTGCACCCAGTTAGCCAGTACTACTTACTCTATAGTTATAAATGACGCCTTACATATTGCCCTGGGAACTCCCCTCCTCAAATCGATAAGCCTTTCCATGGCAAACATAATCATAATCATTCGCCAGCGTCTGCTCGCCCATACCAACCTCTCTCCAAGAGGCCTTGCTATCCTCCTTTCCGTCAAGCGACAGTGTCGATGCTAGCGCCATAGAGAGCGACTCTCCGACAGCGCAGGGGTACAGCTCGGTGTTAACATCGAGCGTGAAAGTTGTGAAGGAGTCAGACGAGGTGCAAGTCAAGCGAGAGACGCGGTCGTATTTTTGCGAGTTGATCGCGGTGATCGTGAAAGTGTCTTCGAAGAGGAGCGGGTCAGACATGGTGGTGGATGCTATTTGTTGACGAGAAGGAACGAGTTCGAGTGAAAATCGAGAGACGTAACCTTGGGATGATTGTCTGCCCTTAATGGTACGAGGTAAGCTGGTTAGTAAAAGCAAAATCGGCTTCAAGTCGAGTTCCGGCGGTGGAAGCTTTTTTCTGCTCGACTCTTCGTGCTACCGCCGCTTTTAGCGGAAAGCGGTAGGAACTGAGCCATGCCCCGCTGCCGCAAATAATCTTCACTGACTCTTGAGAGCGTCAAATCTCGATATTCAAACGAAAATGTCCTTTCGCAAGCGAAATATCGGACTATCGACTGGCACAGGCCAGGGACCCGCTGTCAATCCACCCGCGCAAGCACCACAAGCCGCCGACTCGAGCCCTGGAATCCGTCCCTCACCCGATGATGGCAGACCAACAACGTCTACGGGTACACTGTCGCTGGACAATCTTCTGGCAGGACATGGGGGGCTTCCTATTGGGAAGATGCTGTTTATTGAAGAGAATGGGACTACAGACTTTGCGGGCGCATTGCTACGATACTATGCTGCCGAAGGAGTGGTGCAGGACCAAAAGGTTCATGTTATTGGAGTGCCAGAGCAATGGGGAAGGAGTCTTCCTGGCTTAATAGGCTCTGCTGAAGCTGGTGATGAGAAGACGGACAGGCGGAAGAGCGAGCGTATGAAGATTGCCTGGCGATATGAGCGTCTGGGAGAGTTTGGCGCAGGAGTTGCAGGATCACGAGGTGAGTAATACATCTGTCCAATCACACCCTATTGGAACCATCGCACTGATTATAATAGCTCCCGCGGCACTCGAACAGAACCAAAGCACGGACGGGAACCAGGTGAAACCAGCATTCTGTCATGCATTCGACCTCACGAAACGCCTTACCCATCCCTCCATTGCGAAAATGAACTTCATCCCGTTTGCACCCACGAGAGAGCCATTCTTTACTTCCATTTATAAGCGACTTCACAGCGCCATTGCATCTAGCCCTCCGAACACTGTGCACCGCATCGTCATCCCGTCCTTGCTCAGTCCCACCATGTACCCTCCAGAAGTCAGTCAGCCAGACAATGTTCTCCCATTCCTTCACTCCCTCAGAGCTCTTTTGAATACCCCGAACGCACGCATCACAGCCATTATCACGGTTCCTCTGTCACTGTTTCCCCGCGAGTCAGGCCTCGTACGATGGATGGAGCTGATCGGCGATGGTGTTATCGAACTGTGTCCTTTCCCCCACTCTGCGGATGCACTGGCGACATCGGGAGCGGCAACTTCTGGAGAAGAGCCACCCCAGGGTATGCTGAAGACACATCGACTGCCGGTGCTGCACGAACGTGGTGGTGGTAGTGATCAGAATATCGGGCAGGATTGGGCGTTCAATCTGAGCAGACGGAAGTTCGAGATCAAGCCCTTCAGCTTACCGCCAGATGAGGGGGACAAGGAAGCTCAAGGTGGAGCAGCTGCGGGTGGAATGCCTAAGAAGGAGGATTTGGAATTCTAAAGTGATAATCGAATTGGAGGTAGATTATTCTTCATGGTTCGAGTCTTCGAGCATATCCTGCAGCTCGATCTGTTCAGACATGGCCCCGCCCGTTTGCGCCATTGTCCGGAGATAACTCCGTCCAAATGCAGGTCTACTCGACTCGTCTTCAAATTGACGGCGCACGCGAGAAAAGGCAAACCATGCTTCAAGATGTCAGCAAATGCGGCGCGACGCAGATAAAGGATCACCCACCTAAAACGAGAAGGAGGGGTGAAAAGAACACGAGGAATAGCAGGAAGAAAAAATTCATTACGGTGTTTGGTGACAAGCGTCAGGTGTAAATACAAGTCAAAGACATATGTTACTGTCAAGAATATGCGGTTACCAGACCGATTGAATTGTTTTTGGCGGATCAAGTAGCGGTTGTGGCTTCTCCGGGTCGCCGGAATGAGTACTCTAAAACGGGATTAGCGCGGCTCGTCAGAGCATTTCCCACCAACTTTTTTTCTCCGCCAACATTATTTCTCTTCTTCCTTAACACACAACTCTGGTTTTGCTGGACAAATCCTAGAGTTATGATATTTTGCTTTATTTAATGGTAAGTAAAAGAACGTTATGTTTATTTCTTTTGCTCGCATGATTATACATCTACTATAATCTGTCAATCCCCTGAAGCTCGCTATATATATCTCTTTAAATTGAGCACCTGTGATTGAGAAACGTATTGAGAATGACTGGCTATTTCTTGTTTCTACTGGTACTATCCATTGACTTGTAATGGACTTGAGCTAACTGGCCATCTGTTAGCAGTGTATATTTGAGACTCGTGTCAGCTAGAAAATGGACACCGACCCGGCTCTCCCTATACCGATTTCTTACATATCCGGTAGTTACTATCTCTTCTCAATTGATGCAGTTACATATCTGAGACGCGAACACCATATCTGCGGCGTTCTGATTGGAACCCTCCCGCAAATCCCGCAACAAAATGTCTTCCTGGCCATGCCCCTGCAGCTGATGCCAGAAGAGGCACGGCTGCTGGTGGACAAAGGTGTAGCTTGCATTGTAGACGAGGTAAAGGCGCACAAGGATGGCATGACTTCCATCATGGAAGAGGATCGGAAACGGTATCTCCAGGATTTAGAAGCTGAAGGGCTGCAAGCCATGCGACTGCAGAACCGCCGCAAGGAGCAACTGCGGGAAGAAGCTTTAAAGAATCTAGATGCGAAGAAGGCGGCCAAGGCGTCTAAGAAAGCTGCTCAAAAGCAGGATAATGCTGCTGGTGATGATTTTGCGCTGGAGCTGTTCGCGGGTGGTGAACAGGCCCAGGATGCTGGTCCGCAACGCCCGACTCCGTCTGAAACAGCGATGGCTGTCACTCCATCGACGTCGTACCCGCCGATGCCATCTAGACCTACATCTGACCAGATCCTGCCATCACCTGAGGTCCCGTCCTCTTATCCTCTGTTCGCGCACCTGCACACTAAGGGTTATTTCCTATCGCCTGGACTCCGGTTCGGATGTCAGTATCTCGCATACCCGGGTGATCCTCTACGGTTCCACTCTCATTTCTTGGTCGTGTCTGCTGAATGGGATGAGGAGATTAACTTGATGGACATCATTGCTGGCGGTCGACTGGGCACTGGTGTGAAGAAGGGCTTCCTCGTTGGCGGAGCTGAACAGACCGGTCCTGGTTCTGAGGATAGTGTAAGGATGTTCAGTGTTGAGTGGGCAGGAATGTGATGCTATGCTTTTTCTGCTCATAAATTCTCAACATATTTCTCTATTGCAACTGCTTCTACGTTGCAACCCATGTCCGAGTCGCATTCGAGGCTATGCGCTTATGAACATGTTCCAGCGCCATTGGTTTAGGAATGGACCGCCATCGATTATGCCGGACGGGCTCGTGCTTGGAAGCACAAACACGGTCAATGTTCACCTGAGAACATCATCATCTCCGGAAGGCGACGCAACTCGCATAAGAGCTAAAGGATGTCGTCGAAATGCAATTGAATGCAATTCTATTAAATTAGATATCCGTGAACGATACATTATGATCTATCAGTCAAGTTCTATTTACAATGGCGTAACTCGTTCCGTATATTCCAACCGTCCCGACTCTAGTCGCGTTCAGTCGCATTCAGTTTCAGACGCAATTCGTCCCGCAGCAGAGCTCAGCTAGCAGTTTTTACCACTGACGGGTGTGCATTCTCCAAGACTGACAGGCATAGGCATCATATCATGCCATCGGATAGTCCATTCCATGCGCCTTCTCATTCACGTACTCCATAAGAGTTTAATACATCCCACAAATCCATTATATCCAACCCATCGAATCACAGATACTCGACATTTCTCCACTTGAACTTCTTATGCGCCCTGTCAATAGCCCGATTCTGGAACTGATTCCCATGAATCTCAAATACCAGCTCCTTCACCTCGGACTGCTTCTGCCCATCCTCCTTCATCTCCGTATCCGCATCTACGTTTGCATCTGTCTCTGGTTTCGGTAGTGGTACGCGAAAGCGAATGATCGTTTGTTCCTTCGGAATAGCTGTACCCATTAGCACCACCCTCCCCCATCACAATAGGAAAAGGAACCTACTCTTAACCTCATCCCTCTCCGTAACAACCACAAACGTAAACTTCGTATCCCTAACCACAACCCCCCTAATTCCAACCCTTCCCGCACATCCACTCCTGACAACTTCAATCTCCGCGCCATGAAAATCCGCACTCACAAGCTTACTCCCATGCGACGGCGCCGTCACCATCCCTCCCCCCTGCCCCGTACTCCCATCAGCTCTTAAATCAAGCACCTCCTGCATATACCGCACCCAAAGCGCATGTAACCCTTTAAAGACTTCATGCTTCGCCTCGCCCTGCGCTAACTCATGGATTCCAGAGGCGCGCTTTTCCTTCGCGGAGAGGGGTTTTGGGCGCTGGTGGCGTAGAAAGTATTCCTTCTTGCGGAGACGGTGGTGGCGCCGGCGGGAGCGGTTGTCTGATGCGGATGGGGAGGTCGGGCGGAGGTAGAGGGGTTTTTGCTTTATGCGGTCGGTGAAGAGGGTTTCAGTGGTTTGGGGGGAGTGGGCGCGCGAGAGGAGGGTTTGGGCAATGTGTTGTTTTGGGGGCGGGGCTGTCATTCTGAGGTTGGGTTGGTTTTGTTTGTTGGAAGTGAGGAAGTTGGTGATGCTGGGAAAAAAATGGTGACAAGCTTATCGGTGGGTCCGCGTGGTACGTCTATCAACGAGGTACATATAGACAACTGAAAAAAGTAGAAAAAGAATAGGATAGATTTAAAAAGATGAAGACAATTGCTTAAAGTTTTTGACTGGCATAACGTATAATGCTATTCCATAGTCAAAATCAATTCCCCTCCCGACTAGAAAATACATAGTAGCGCGATATGAGAGAACCTTTCAACGTCACATTGCAATGAAATGAGCTTATTGAATATAAAACAGGGATTCATGTACTTGGCCTGACATCTGATGCCCAAAAAGCAGCTATCCACGCCAATCATTTGACTATCTGGAGTCTATATACATAATCAAGTTTCAATACACATGAACATAGCAAAATATGAACCAGTTCCGGCACATGTTGAGAGCTTTTTATTTCTCACAGTCCGAAGGGGGGTCCAATTCATCTTCCCGGCTCACTTTGCGGCCGTGGACGTTGTGCTCGACTTCCGGCACAAGCGTCTCCATGAAATGCTTGTTACCGCCAACCAAAGTGACGGTGTTCCGCTTCTTCTCCCAACGGGGGTAACTACCCACCTTAACGCCGTGCGGGTTAGCCCGTCTGGCAAGTTCCGTCAGGTACGGTGCGATGGCACTCTCAGGGAGCGGCGTGCTGAAGAGGAAGCGGTAGATACCCTTGCCCTCAGGGTTCGTCAAGCGCGGCAGCAGATTGGGTTTGAGACACTCGAGCAATCGCTCGAACAGACGCGGCACACCAGGGAGAATATGGATGTTTCCGTTAACCACCGCAATGGGAACCCACATGTCATCCGCGACGAAGATGGCCTGCTGCTCTTCGGGAGCCTTCGGGTCATGCGGAAGTTCGACCATGCGCAACTTCGCAGTGAGTCCCGGGGAGGGTTTCTCCCAGTCGAAATGGGGCTGCATGGGATGGGGTCTGGAGAGCTGCTTCATCCGTTGGAAGGCTGGTTGGTATAGTTTCAACTTCAGGCCAAAGGCCTTGGCTATCGATTCATAGGTTATATCGTCATGGCTTTTCTCATGGTGGAAACACATGGATCAGCTTCCCTCCCACGATTATGATTTATTTGTCTGAAAGGGAGGGTATACGGACGTTGGCCCAATTCCTCCACTAGTCACGACAAAATCATATTTGTTGCTCATGCGACGGACGGCCTCGACGATTTCGTTCTCATCGTCGGCAATGACTTCGATGCGCTTTAGCTGTATTCCAAGCTGGAAGCAGTATTTGGCGAAGTAGGCGGAATTGGTGTCGATGGTCTGGTGAGGGTGCATAAGTCAATCTCTGGTTCACCCGGTGCGCCAACCAGGAACACTCCAAGTCCCATTCCGCAAAGACCCAAGGACTCACCTTTCCACCAAGAACCTCGTCACCAATAATCAAACAAGCCGCAGTATGTATTGTCTTTGAGGCATTTGTTATGGCAGATGATGTCATCATGGACGGAGCGCGATGGTGCAATGGAGATAGCGACGGTGCGGGATTCGTGATGGCCGGAGTAAAAGCGAGTGATGGGCGGGATAAATGGCGGGTGAGTTGGGTGAGACGGGCGAACATGGAGTAGAATTAGGAAGATACGGAGAAAGAATGGAAAAGAGAGAAAAAAGGACGAGAGGATTCGGATGGTGGAGAGAATGGGGCATTTGAAGGTCCTGCGGGGTGGGGAAGAGAGCTCGATTCCACCTGTTCTCATTTTTATTGTTCCTCTACAACCCCCTGTCCTCACCAGATATATTTCATCTCTTCATTTTTGACTACTATCTAACTTACTCAGCTTCTATTCTATATAATAATATTTCTTGAATCAGACGCTGGTCGTTTTTGGCTTTCTCCAACATGGTGAGTTGCCCCGCATCTGCGGCGCACTGCAGAGACAAGACTGACCAGGGTGTACCGGCAACAGGCTTCGGAATCGCGTTTATATTCTTTCTCCCCAGAGACCAAAGACAAGCTGCGCAAGTTTCGGCTGGGAACATCAAGAGCAAAGGATCCGCAGGCTATTATCTGTACGGGCTTCACCTCATAAATGATCATAAAAAAGCAAAAGCAGCCGCGATAAGCCAATCGACGGCGACGCAAGGACCGTGAAAACACCGTATTAACAACCGAATAGATGTGATTGATTCGAAGAATCAAGAGATCCGCCCCGATGATGATCGAATCTACTCAAAAATGGAAGATGTGGCCGATGAGCTCCCCGAGTCGTCTCCACGGTTCATCCTCCTCAGTTACCCGCTGACTCTGGTGCGCATCCGTCCATCCCTTCTCGTATCTGGAGATATAGATACTAACTAGCGCCCAGGGATCCGGTCGGCTTTCGGTCCCGTACGTCCTCCTCTACTACCTCCCCGAGAACTGTAACCCGTCGCTACGGATGCTCTACGCCGGGGCGGTGGAATTAGTGCGCAGTACGGCTGAGGTGAATCGGGTTTTGGAGGTGCATGAGGAGGATGATATCATTTCGATCGAGTCGAGACTCCAGGGGGACGATTAGTAGCTTATCGGGGTTCTCGTATAGCAGGGATGTTACTTGTCCGATGCAGGTTGCTGGGAATTGCTGGGTGTGAGCAGGTGGCTCAATCGATACCAGAACATTGGATTTGAAATTCTTGGTAGCGTATTCGATACGCATGCATGAAATCAAGATCATAGCAACCTGGGAAAAGACTGGAAATTGGGCGTATGATGTGATTAGGTTGGATGGTGTCAATTATGGCCTCAGTTAGCCATTTATCTTCAAGAACTCGTACGCTACGGACTTAACCTAGGCCGAGAACAGATATCTGGGAGCTAACCGGGGAACACGGATAGAGCATTATTAACCTCCGACTCCAGCGTAAGCTCCATAGTTTAGTCCCTACATTCAGGAACGCGGTTTCATTAGAATAGACTTTGTGGCACGGCAGAGTAGAACGAGGTCAATTCACTCGCTTATTTCTTCTATATCAAGATTCTTATGATGAGTACGGAATGACTATACATAGTATAAACTCGTATCTCTTCACACTTCATGAACTCTACATAGTAGATAATGTACAAATACTTGCACTCGAGGTACCGGGACTTATCAGTACCAGAGTGTGCCGTACAATACCCCTGTAATACCAATACATTCCGCAGTAGACCAATCACGAATACCAGTGAGCAAGTGGAGCTATCAGCCGCTGCCACGACGGGCCCGGAATTCCCCCTCTTATTTTGTTATTAGCGGATGAAACTCCTGTTCATCCGGGTATAGCCATCTATAACTTTGTTTCTGGTGATCAGGAGTCCTTGAACATAGTACTCTGTATAGTGGTATATCATTATAATGGATAGGAGTATAATATTATTCCGAATTAAAAGGAGCCCCTGTACAGAGTACATAGAGTTTATTTAGCAAATAATATTTTACCACCGTATCCTGGTCAGCACAATGCCTGGCTTGTCCCAGTGATCTGGCACAGCACTGACCACTGCACTGCAGTGCCGCTGTACCAGCCAGTCCACCTAGACTGTACAGATCATCGTACTGCATATAGCACGGAGTAGTTGTATGGAGCACTATCTATCCCACTCACGCCGTAGAGAATTTCCCGTCCCGTGGGCGGCTATCTGAAACAGAACCAGAATAGCAATGGAAGGAACTGAGTCAGTCCAGACAAAGTTGATGAAGTGAAACTGCTGTGGCAATTCGAATGGCTATTATTCGAGTGTATGTACTTGTACAGTACTTGTACATAGGAGTGTAGTTACTGCTCTGTATGTACATATTACAGAGCACGTTGTCAGTCAGGGATAATCCGATTGTCTGATCGAACATCACAGTCTACTTGGATGGCACAAACTCTGAATAATTAAGCCCAAAGTCCGCCCGCCGGGGCACTTCCAAAAAAGGCTTAGGGTCACCCCGTCAGCGCCCGCTTCGGCCCTTCGGCAGCGAAACCTTGGTTCCGGTAACGCACGGGCCTATGTGCTGCGTACGGAGTACCGTACAGTACCCGTAATTACTGCTACCCCTGCTCTTCACCCCAGAAATTATGGTTTTATTCTCTACCAAAGTATTCTCTTGCTATGCTATGATCCTTATTACGTCGTCTTTTTTTATATATATTTAATTTTTTTTTTTTTTTTTTAATTTTTTTTTTTTTTTTTTAATTTTTTTTTTTTTTTTTGAATTTTTTTTATTTTCATTGCTAGGCTAAACTTATTTATCGTTAGGCTTTCTTTTCTCCTCTCTGCTTTTCTCTCTCTTTCTCTCTTTTTTCTCCCACTAATCTACCAACGACGTCTCCAACCCCCAGCGTCGGGTCAGTCAGTGAACAGGTCACTTTTCACTGCTGCATTGTGTGCCCGACTGTTGCATCCTCACTTCCTCATAGCCAATAACCTCTCGATTTGCAGATTGACTGGACGTCTACACAAAACAACATCAACATCCCAGTCCCCTCACCGTCTTGTCGGGTCCCAAGTCTGTGGTTGTCGGTACTGCCGCCCGTGTTCCCGTCAACCTCCTTGCACCTGATCTATCGCCATCCATCCACCGTCGTCCACATCCACTACTGCCTATTATTGTCCGCAGCTGTCGTCTTATCTGCGTCTATCCCTACTTTGCTCGTATTTGATATTTTTCCGGTCGGGATTTGATCGGGATTCCCGAGTCAGTTTTTATGTTGAGAAACGAGGCTTGACAAATTATCGGCACGATTTCGTCGATTTAAAGGAACCGAAGGAGTTGAAGAATATTCGATAAGGAACGAAAAGCAAAATGTCGACTCAAGAAAATCAGAACAAGCCTGAGGGCCTGTCCAAGTATATCAAACGTATGAGGACCGTTTTGAAGAAAGGTTCCACCAAGTCCTCTATCTCCAGCACGAAGGATATCACCGGCAAGGCTAGTACTGGCACTCCTGCCCAGGCTGTCAAGGCTCCCTTTAACAATGCTGAAGCGTATGTCTTTTCCAGTTCTTTGTCCTGACGTAGAGCTAACAATACCAGCCCAATCGAGCCACACCCCAACCCCGGAGAACTCTCCACCAAGATCCAAGAACCGACCGTGGTTTCCCACTGGAGCGCCGTCCAACAAGCCAAAGCCCAGGCTCTCTTCGCCAAATACGGCCTTTCCCTCGAACCCGGCGAATGGAAATCCCCGAGCGACATGACCGTCCAACGAGTCACCAAGCCGATCCGCATGCGCGTCCGCCGCACCTGTCACCGCTGCCAGACCACCTTCGGCCCCGACAAAGTCTGTGTCAACTGCCAGCACACCCGCTGCAAGAAATGTCCCCGCTACCCGGCGCCGAAGAGCAAGCCCACCGAGCCAGAGCAAGGTGCTGTCCGGGCGCTGCTGGAGGAGAAGAAGGCGAGGAGTGCTCGGCCGGTTGAATTGCCGCGGACGACTCAGAAGGCGGAACTTACGATTCCTTCGCGAAGTGGTGGACAGGATTTGGTTCGGAGACCGGTTCGACAGCGTGTGAGACGGACTTGTCATAAGTGTGAGACTTTGTTTCCGACGGAGGATGCGACCGAGTGTATCAATTGTGGACATTTGAGGTGCAAGATATGTCCACGCGATCCGTACGTAATCTCTACTATCGTTGGTGGACGTTGCTAACCAGATATCAGACCCAAACTACGCAAATGGCCCGACGGATACCCAGGAGACGCCGAACCATCCATCGATATACCCCAGCGAACCTGGCGAAAGCCTCGCCAGCGAGTCCGCTACACTTGTCACGTATGCACCACGCTGTATCGATCCGGAGAACGAAACTGTTCCAGCTGTGGCCAGGAAAGGGGACCATCCACGATACGGGATCCGTACGTACACCTTACTCTAGGGAATTCAAAACAGTTGCTAACGACGGATAGACCCAAGAAAATCAAACCGGAATTCGACCCGGAGGTTGTGATGCGCGTTCAAGAGCGATTGGCGCAGATGAATTTTGGTGCTTGACGCGGTAGTAGTTTTGTCCTATGTCTAGAATCTGGTCATTCGTTATCCTACTCCTTTCTTTCCTTCACGATTACGAATACACGCATTTTTAAGTAGTACAAACACAAGTACGACTACAGTCTCCATAAGGCAATCCACAACAGCCTAACCGTTAGAATAACTTACCAATCCCAACACCCGGATCCATCCTCAACGATACCCAAGAATCATGCACATTATGATCGTCCATCATAACCTGCCTAGCTCCCCTCCGAGCCCTCTGCCCATCCATACATAACAGTACAAGCACATACGTACATCCAACCCAGCACCACTGTACCACCCTTATCTCCGTATCCGCCGACTCGGCCGACGGATGTCACGGACCGGCCCCGGTATGGAACCTGCGGGCAACTGGTCTTAAGCCCGGATTGAATTAAAATAGAAATTATTTCCGAATTCAGAAATCGGTAATTCGACCGTTGAGCTGTCATGTTGTTTCTGGATCAGACCTGACTCGCAGGATAATTAGGGACGGTATAACCATTATGCTGGACGTACTTGTGCCAGTGTCCTGGGTTGGTCCGGCCGTGGGACTGGTATCAACAGTTTTTAATGGTGTATTGGGTGTCAAATGATAGCTGTATGTTTTTTTTTAGAGTTTGGGTAGAGTTTAAAGGAATGGTGATAGTTTGATATGGGTATGGGATGTTGGGATTCTCGGCTGTACTTGCAGCATGTGACAATAGCATTCAAAAAAAAAAAAAAAAAAAAAAAAAAAAAAAACTGCAGAGTACTCAGATGTCGACTACTCTTTCATATCCTATCCAGTCAGCATACAGCCTACGATTCTCCATCTTCTAAGTATACTTACGAGTGAAGTACTTGTACAAGCACCAGTACAGAATACAAGCGTTAACCCACATCGCACTGACTCGACTGACCCAACCCGACGCCGGGGATCCGGCAATGCGGAGAATATCAGTGCTACTATAACACCACTAATAAGAAGTGCAATATCAGATGCGCCAAGGCCTGGATTCGGAAGGACCCTTATCAACGTTTTCGCCCGTTGTCGCACTCATCTGCATAGGTATAGTAGAACGAATATTGTATTGTGAGTAATTGCACAGGACTAACAGGATCAATTAACTTTGTCTGACAAGTGATACATCGAGTCCGGATCGATATAAGCATAAGATTACCGTTAGCCGTTGCTGTCCGGTTGTCCGGTTTCTGTAATCCTACTTAGATGCTTTCCTATTATATAATCGCGCATAAAAAAAGACCATAACTATGTATGTATTTATGCATTGTTCAGAGTAATGTCCTCCGAAGGCGAGGCCTAGACTGGCGCAATCCACATCGTTCGGCGGGGAAGCCGTTCCGAGCGCTCTGGCATATAACGGTGATCGTGAATGATTCGGTATAGTTCTCTATAATATGCGATATATAACATGAGAATTTATTGATAGAGGGGTAGAGTACTTTCATACCTAAGAGAATAAGCGAACACCAAAACCTATACTATAGACTGTAGTTCAGCTAGACCACCCTGAAGAACATCACTCTGGATCATCATATCGGGATTTGACCCCTGACAGCACACGACAGCTCAGCCGTCGGAGATTATTGCGCTGCCTGACTGGACTAGACTATTTCGCGATTATGTGCCACAACTTTATTGAACTATCAGGTGTTATATCCCTCAAGCTGTATTATTATCGTACAGACAAACGGGTCGGTCCGTTCCCGCCAAAGAAGTGACACAACGATATCATGTATTGTATTGTATGATACCAAACGGTATGGTGTGGTAATGGTGGTAATCATTTACCAGGATCCAGAGTCTCGGTTGGGGTTCCGTTGTTACAGGTTTTCGGGCTTTGGTTGGTTTTTACTAGTGTAGTCTGGTATTACCGTATATTTCGGTTCTGCATTGACATTGACATTCTGCAATACTACGCGGCCAGTTGGCTTGCGGATACCTGGCAAAAGTTCTTGATAGTTATCGTACCTAACTCCTAAAGAGTATTTCACTTCAATGCAAACACTGCAATAATTGCCATCCAATATCACTAACACACGGTCCAACCAAACCTGCATACAATCAATACGCTTCATCTCAACTCTCATTATATCCATGTCTTGCCTAGACATATTTCAATCAAGATTTAACCCTCTTAAGCACACGCCTTTCACCCTCATACCCTGTTTATTACTGTGATTAGCACAAGAAGCACACCAGACATAAAACACCGTGCTCGAGCACCTTCATTCCCCACTGTCTTCTCTCAATTAAGAGATTTCTCGAAGTTTGCCTTTACGCAGCTCTGGCAGCAGAATAGCAACCGACCAACTTGGGATGCTGCTTTTCACAGGTAAAGTAGTAGTAGTAGTAGTAGTAGTAGTAGTAGTAGTAGTAGCGCGGATACAGGAACATGAAGTTGTTGTTGGTGTCGTAGAAGGGACAAATACGTTGGAGACAGTGTTGGTGAAAAGCTCGGGGATAGTTAGGGATTGTTTTGGACAGGTTGGGAAGGACCTACAGTATCCAGAGTGTCTGATTCGGAGTCTGAGCCCGACTCGGATAGGTCAGATTCCATGGTGTCTTCTGACAACGGACTGAGGGCTAGACTTTCCCACGTCACTTTATATCCTTCAGCCATCACGGTTTTCGTCTTTCCAATCTGACGGGATGGTCGAGCGAGATCGGCATTCTCTTTGTAAATCGAAAAGCCTCTGTTGGCAGTATCAATGGTCGAGCCACTGAAGAGGTTGGCTCAAATACTTTCAGCATGCTGGAGCCAGGCCTTTCGTATCTGTCGGCTATCTTCTGCACACCTCTATCCCGGGGCAGACACTTCTCGAGAATCATCTCCAATTCTCCCGACGACAGCTCATCCGTACCTATCTCCCACGCCCTGGTCCCCTCGCCTGCAAAAGACGCAAGCAAGCTATTATCACTCTGCACGAGCTTCCCATCAACATCAAATGCAGATCCACTAGCATCAGTCATCATCGCAGCAAAATAAGCTTTCTTCGCCAGCTGCCAGTGCATTCGTTCCTCAACAGTTCCCCGCGAATAAAGTTTAAAGATGGAAACCAGCTGTGTCTGACCAATCTTATGGATTCGTGCTTCTGCTCATCGCATCATCTATGATTCCAACCCTCATTCAGGAATATGACAGTTGTGGAACTTGTCAAGTTGAGGCCCTCTCCACCTGCGCGGACGGGGACCAGGAAGATCTTGTAACAGGGTCGTGTGTGAACAAATGCACGAAGAAGCGGCTTCAGACTGATGAAGTGCGGCCGTCGAGTCGGGCGTGGGAGAAATGGTGGCCATCGTTTTTTTTTTTTTTTTTCTAGTCAAACGGTCCTCGTAAAGATTCGGGCATGGTCGAAGCCGAAGAAGATTATAATTTTCTTGTGTTTTTCGATCACGACTTGTTGAATAATCTTTTGGGGGATTACGAATTTTCCAGAATCGAGGATTGTGTGGGTTCCGGGGGAGTCGCCATGGGCGTCATCTAGGAGATAGGGCGTATAGAGCACTATCCTGTCAGCTTAGAACCTTCAAGAATGTTTGGCAGGACAGACCTTGCGTAGTTCCATCGAGATATTCATACCAATATTCTTTTTCTGAAATTTTGCTTTCTGTCCAAAATGCTCGAAGCCTTCACCGGGACTCGATCCAAAGCTGGACTGATCGTCAAGCACATCAATCCTACCACCAGCCAGGACCTTCATATACCAAGTATTCTGCAGATAATACAGGGGCACGGGAATGCTGATAAATCTCTTTGGAGGAATATCAAAGTCGATACCTGGCAACTCCTTTTCCCTCCACAGCATAACAAGCCCCAAGAGATTCTTGCAGTGGCTGAGGAATCCACCGTCGAACGTTCCATCACTCAAAGAGAAAGCCTCGTCAAACGGACCAAAGGTGGACTTATCGAGAACATCTGGATACAAATCGTGGAAGATTGATCATAATTCGCGCAGGTTGTTCTGCACGGAAGTCCTTCAATCAATTATCGGCATGCATCTCTCATTTTTCCCAATGATGTAGTACCAACCCAGTCAGAACTTACCTATACTCTGCCAGAACCCAGTCCAGGATCTGTGCCTGCTTCGACCCATCATTCTTAATCCAAACGAAGACTCGCCCCAACCACACAATACCAGATATAACTGTATCATAACTCGTCATCACAGTACCAGGCAGTGTCCGTCCCCGCCTTCCGCCGACGAGCAAGAGCCGCTTTGATCTTTACTCGCTCGTCCTCTGAGCCGTGATATTTCAAAACCTTCAGACCAGGCGTCAACTTTGCTGCTTCTGATACCCAGCCTTCAATGATACTCTGCAGACAAACGACTAGGTATTAAATGTTCATGGTAGTCCTCTTTTTGGTATACTGGAACAAAGCGAGCGCCCGCAGTGTTTCTCCGAGGCCCATTTCGCTGCTGTGGAAGCCGTCCATGCCGTTATTTTTGAGATATAGGAGGAATGATAGGCCGGTGAGTCGGTAGGGTCTTATTATCGCGCGTAGGCTATAGTGGCATGCACACTGCGAAATTGTTCACCCAATGGGCTGGTGGACTAACTTGTAGGGCTTGATTAGCCCTCGTTCTCCGGTACAATCAAAATGTCCTTTGAGTAGAAGTGGTATGATTATGTCTTTGTTCGAAGCAAGAAAAACACCCCTCCGTCTCTTAATCTCCTCAACGGTATCCCCATCACCGTCTCCCCCAGAAGAACTCTGCACCCGCATTTGCACTTACTCCGGAGCGGGAGCTCCCAGGACCATACTCTGATAGCCACCCTTGCGATTGCCATTGCGACCCGGGGTGACTGGGGAACCTATGGCTTCTGCTATCTAATTGAGATGTTATGGAATTGAAATTGCAGACCGTATGATCAAAGAGGTTATCGTCGAACATTAAGATGGACATGAGATGGGTATAAGATGGGACGACATACTACAGTAGATACTAGATACATACTATAGATTATACGAATTTACAGAGTACGTTAGATTCAATAATACACTATCTCTATTGTCCTACATCGAGGTTCTGTCTTTCGTCCGAAGCTTTGCTCTACGACGGCATCAACTTGTATACACCTGAAGTGAATGCTATGAAATATACGCAGTTGAGTTGTGAATTTGTTTGACAAGCACTATTTTTGTTCGGTATATCATGATTATAAGAATTAGTGCCTTTGGATACCATTTTGTCAGTATTCTAATTTGAATAACGGGTAACGCGTACATTGAGTAAATTTGCAGAGCACTCAAAGTAGGAAACCAGAGTTATAAAATTAGCAATATTTCCGATGTCTATAACCCCGGATCAATCTAACTTAACCACATTTTTAGTGGGTCGCCATCGGCTACCCCGCCATTTGACTTTGTCACCCAACTTTTGTACAAAGCCAGTCCTGGGTGTCTGCAATTATCCTCTCTTCAAATCATCAGAAGTATAGCTTGGAGATATTTCCAAGACTATACTATCCTTAAGTGACTATGGAATTTTTCGTGTATTCATCGCTTCCGCAAGAGCCTAATATTACCCGCATGATGTAACGGCTCAGCTCAGCGCCTTCATCAGCAAACATCATCAACACGGCAAACAATGTCATGGAAGCAACCAAGACAAACAAGCTGCTTAGCGAGACCACACACAAACATATAGGACTTCTTCATGTAAATAGATTTGCCTCTTCTCTTTTCTTCTCCAGATTCGATATTCTAGTCGATGGCTACACTGGTTAGATAGGAATATCATTTCATTAGTATCTACTGGTCCGAGTCCGTGACACATGATCCGCCTTTTGCCACATAAGAACAAGGATGTCCCGATAGAATGCAAGCTTTTCAACTACGCTCTATCACAGAAAGATGGCAGAGGGCACCTTTACGAGGCACTTTCCTATGTATGGGAGACTGATATTAAATCTCACTCAATCATATTAGATGGCTGTACTTTCCCTGTTACAAGCAACCTTCATGCAGCGCTCATTAACCTTCGAGACGATCAAATTGATAGAGTGCTGTGGGTTGATGCGATAAGTATCAACCAACTTGATCAGGACGAGAAAAGCAAGCAGATTCCACTTATGCGAACAATCTATGCACAAGCTATGCATGTCATTGTCTGGCTTGGAGAGGCTATGGAAGACGGTGATAAAGCGCTTGAAGGAATTCGTTGCCTTGGAGCAGAACAGGATATACCAGAAAAAACCCGTGATGCATGTTTGCAATTGCTGCAGCGAAATTGGTTTTGTCGTATCTGGGTAAGACATAACCCTACAGTTTTGATAAATATCACTAACCAACCAAGACAGGTGCTTCAGGAAGTTGGTGTTGCACAATGTATCTATATTTTATGTGGCTCTGTTCAGATAAACGGGCACGTTTTTTGTGAAGGCCTCAGAAGATTGGGGCTTTCTTCAAGTTTACCAGCAGTGGTTGGCCCAGTTACTTATCTCATAAAGGGCGCACCTTTTCGGCTACATTATGAACTTGATTCACATGAAAGCCTTTCTATTGGGGAACTCATTGGCATGTACTGCAACCACAATGCTACTAGGCAGCATGACTGTAATAGGCCGAAGCCTTGCTATCTAGTATATAGATATGTACAAAAAGAACTCGTTGAAGGAAGGAAGAATCGTTAGTATGGCGGGCAATGAATTTGGACGTGTCCTCGTGATCAGGTGACCTCTGGTCACCTGACTTCGAGGTGGTTCTGCGGATAGCCTCAATCGAGAATCATTCATGATTCGAGGTGCTTTTCGGGCCTAGCCCGTTACATTACCCCCCTCCTTGTCGCCTCCGCGGACGTCCCCCGGCGTGGGGCGGCTCGTTTGGCCTTGGGGTATTTAGGCTCGATTGGATAACAATCCCATTTGTCTGTTTGTAGGCTTCCCAGTCGTCCAATGCTGTAGTATCCTCCATATTCACCGCATCATTCCATTCCGGTTCTTGCCAGCCGATGTATTTGACTAGGAACTCATGTCTTTCGCCTCGTCCCCACCGTCGGAATCTCTCATCCAGTATCTGTTCAACCGCATATTCCTCATTCCCGTCGATCATCTCTGCAGGAGGTTGGTAGTCATCCTTCTGTTGACTAGGAAAGGGGTCTGTTGCCGCTGGTCGTAGGAGCGCTGTATGGAACACATTGTGGATCGTGTTTGGTGTGTTGAGGCGATAGGCATGGGATCCAATCCTCTTTAGTACAGTAAATTTTGCCTGCCTACTTCCCAGTTTTTTGCTAGGGCGTTCCGTGCGTATGTTGCGTAGGTCAAGCCAGACTTTCTGTCCAACTTGATATTCAGGTGCAGCATCCCTCCGGCGATTAGCGTAGTCTTCCTGTCTCTGTTGGGCAACAGCAAGTTCAGTTGTGGCAATGTCAAGAGCTCCTTTTAGCTTGGCTGCAATCCGTTCACCTCGTTCATGCATGGTGCCTAGGTCCGGTGCTGAAAGATTGATTTCAACATCTTCTTCTAATTGGAAAGGCTCGA